CTGAAGGCAAATACATTTCCATAGGCTGGCATGCCATTGAAGATTTTCCTAATAAAAGTCTACAGAGCTCCACTGTTAAAGATCTTTAGTGGTGAGTTTATCCGCCAAGTTTCTCAAATAAAAGATTAGCTGCCACTTTTATCAAATAAACTCATTATGTGGGACACTGTGAAACATTTTGTTGTGTTCCTACAAGCCAAAGCTCTAACCAGTAGGGTTGTCCTGGCTGGACAAGCAGGAGGAAGGCTTGCCGCACAGCGATATCAATGGCAAGTTTGCGGTTTTAGCTGGTTGGACTCCAGTAGTGCCCTGACGCACACATTGGAGTCCCCAAGCCAACCTGCACCTAATATTTTCTGAAACTAGGTAAGCAGGATGCATCCCTCGAGGGAAGAGTGTGCATTCCATTCCAACAATCTACCTCTAGAACTTCCATGTGGAGGTGCATAGTATTCTCAGTTTGGTTTGGATCCTCTTAAGCATAATGATGGGTTTTCATGTGTTGTCAGACACCCGGCTGACCCCCCCCCCCCACCACCCCCCAGAAAAATTGATGTATTACGTTGCTATAATCAAATACAAGAACTATTAATTATTTGCTATTCCATAATTCAACAAGATCTCCTATTGTTCCCGTCTAACTGAGGGCTTTCTTTCTATTTCTAACCTTTTCCCATCTATACCTCAGCCAGTTAGGAAAATAACCAACTTTGATCTTTACACTGCGATATATTTCTTTAACAAATAGGAACGTTTGTGCTTTGTGACTTCTGTGAGAAGCACAGCCTATTGCTCACTGTAAGCTCACAGCCAGCTGACAGTATTAGTGGGAACAGTGAAATATGATGGTTCTTCATCCAGCCATCTGTAACACTTAAAGTCTAAGGGTATAACAAATATATTTATTTTATATAGAATGCCTTTAGTTCTTCCATCTAATCCTATCTTCAGTGACGTATGGAAAATTTTCCAGGAAGGGTTGAGTCAGGTTTGAGTTTTCCCTAATTTTTGATTGGGTTTTTAGAAAGTATTCGGTTCAATATTGCCATTTTAGAGTCTCCCATTGTGCATTAACATTCCTGAGTGATGAGGTGTTAATTTCAGATGCATACCTTTTACATCTGGTTTCACTGTATTACCGGTCACCAGTCTTGGATTCAGTAGAAAATGTTCCTTTTTTTTGTAGCTTCCGTTGTGATTGATGTGGTTTCCTGGTTCTGAACTGGAAGCTGTGAAATGTTGTCTTTAGGTTACAGCGATTCAGTTGTTAGCAGCCCAGACTTCAATGGCAGAGCAAATGCTGTAAATAAATTGACTTATGAAGGCTTGTGAACCAAACTGGAGTGCTGGTTTGGACCAGCAACTAGACTAGACTAGAGCATGAGCTCAAAGTCCAATCAAAGGACCTGAATTCATAACCTTCTGACCCAGAGGCCACAGTATTACCACCTGAACCAACTGGTCCAATCACAACTCCTCTCCCCCTGTTTTACTATTTCATATATTTTTATGAGGCTAATATTTCTATACAGTTGATGATACAATGTTATATTGTAAGGGAATAAGTTAACCCTGCCAGACTGTAAGCCTGAGGTGAGGAACATGTGACACATCTTGGTTTCTTTTAAAGCCTATTTACTCTTTAAAAACACTGTAAATACCCATTTACTGTCACCCATGGAAGGTCAGCCAGGCATTTTTTAGATTCTGCAGCTTCCATGGTAATGTAGAGCACTTTGTTTACTTTTAGGTTACTTTATCTTATCCTAGGTCTTTCAACACACACATGATGCTGGAATATTGCTGGGGGAATCCTATTTTATCTCTTTTATATAAATTACTAGGCCTCATCTGAAGGCTGAAATGGGTAAATGTACCAAATGAGTCAAAGGTACCTGAAGGTTCCAAGTTCAATCTCTAGTCATTGATGGGTTAGTTGATCTCAACCAGAACTGCGCTCATGAGCAACATTAGGCCTCATTACACCAGCCCAGGGAGAGTCCAAAATAACTAGAGGTCCAGTTTGCAGCGGTCTCCGCAGCTTGGTTCAAGCTCCACCGCTGTTAAGTGCTCTGAGATGCTACCCCGCATAAAGAGCGCTATACAAATGCATTCATGGAAAATGAATGTGTCATTATAGAATGAGAACAGAGTTGGGTTTGACTATGATTCTCTTCACATTCGAAAAGCATGCACAACACTCACTGTTTAGGCCCACATACAAAGTATAAACACTTTGGCAAAGGTACTGAAGGGACTGGTCCCGTGGTTCTGTACACAGTATGATTGCCTTAAGGAAAAGGCTCATTTATTTCAAGAGGAAATTATTTTTTCCAACTGAAATGTTGGGCCAACATGTGCCTATTCATCTCATGGAATTCCTGCTTGGAATGCAATTTTCCACATGTTACCCAAAAGCAACACTCAGCAACACAGGTTGACTGATAATTTACCTTTGTTAGAATGACTAATTCTATACATTTCATTTAACTTATTGTTGACAGTGAGTGAATGTGCAAAATACCATTCATGCTGTTCAGTGGTAAGCATGTGCTTACACTGGTCTAAAGTGTCTTAACAGATGACAAGTCTCCTATTAGTTCCTAAGCAGCAGCTGTCATAAGGCAGAGAAAGCAATATGTACTATTTGATACTGTTCATGTGACCTAATTAATGTCCTTTATAGACAGAGAACTGTAGAAGCCAGTTCTTATTTCTTTGCTGCAGTTCAATGGGTTTGCTGTATTACAATGTGTTCTTACATTTCAGTGTACAGTGTGCATTGTAAGAGCCAAGGCAAAGAAAGATTTGTGTGCACAGGGGAATTATTTTAATATGTATTTTACGGGTCAAAGAAAACAAAACATTGTCCAAGTTTTATACTTTAAAGTTTTTTTTGTTGTCTGAGAAAAGGCATTCACCATGTGTTAACATGTGAGTGTTGAATCTGGGTGTTGGTGGAGAAGGGAGAGTTAGAAAACGTATATAGAATTTTTTTTTCTAAGTGTATTTTTGCCTGCCTTCCCTCAAATTTTCTTTCTTCTGTCCTGAAGTCACTGACTCTTACTGGGGCAGAGGTCCCCACAGCCCTTCTCCAGTACCTCATAGCCAATCTTTGCATGTGAGCCGACAGAGCGAGCATCGGCAGGCTGTTTGACTGAAATGGAATGGGTGATGTGAAGTGCGGAGTGAAGGGTAACAAAACGCACAGCAAAATTTTGCCAACCATTTGTTAGAAGGATATGGCAAGATGATAGGGAAATGGGAAATGGGAATAGGAGATTTAGTAGTGCATAGGACCAAAGAACGGTCTGTGATCAAGCGGGTTTGATACACCAAATCAGCTTCTCCTCTTGCTAAATTCTTTTGTAGCTATTTGTAATCCTTTGCACAAGAGCTAATATATCATCTACTGACTATATTTGTACTGTATTTTTTCCAGCATGCAAATGGAACCTTTCATCCAAAAATTTAAATCTCAGAGCATACTATATTTGAAAGTAACAAACTGCACTTGAAATAGCTCCCCCACCCCTCCGCCCAAAACATTTCTTTAAACAAGAGTGGGGGAAGAGAAGAAATCTGCTTAATTCACTTCTTTGACTTTGTAAGACCACATGTTCAGGTGCAGTTATTTGAAAAAAATTATTATTATTAACAGAGATGATAGATTGCATGATACAAAGCAATTTACATTCACATAGTACCATCCATGTCCGGATGGTGACTCAAAGCACTTCACACAGCTGGCTGTCACTCAAGCCTGAGTAGGGTACAGAGAAAAAGATGACCGAAAGAGCAGTCAAAACCTCTTAAACTAGGTTTTAAGGAGGGGGCAAAAAAGAGGGACTCTGAAATGGAGTTACAGAGAGTGGAGACAGAATGGCTGAAAGCCCTCCTGATGATGGTGGGGTCGGTCAAATAGAAAATATGAAGTAGTCTGGTGTTTGGCGTCTGGGTTGCTAGTTTCAGGGGGTCATTCAGGTGGGATGAGGCAGTGGAAAGATTTGAATGTGAGGAACTTGATCCACTGGGAAACATGGAACCAGTGGAGCCCAGTGATGATGGGGGTGATGGGCTAACAGAGCCTGGTTTGGAGAGGACAAGGGTTGCAGAGTTTTGGATGGTGTCCAGGTCGTGTAGGGAGGAACTGGGGGTATCTGTTGAGCGGGATGTTGGAATAATCAAGTCTTGGTGAATGAGGGAATGATGAATTTGAACTCTACAATAGAATTACATGGACCGAGAAGGCACGGGAAACGCTCCATTTGGCCCATCTTATCTTTGCCCGTCTTTATATTCCACATGGGGAATATTTATACTCCCACCCAACCTAATCCCCTCTATTCCCTTTTTTTTCTCACGTATGCATCTAAGTTTCCTCTTTTTTTTAGAAAAAATAAATCCACTGGATGCTTTTTCCTTCAGCCACAGCTGAGCTGGATTTCTGGGGCTGCACTGAGGGTGGGTGGTGGGGATGGTGGTGGGGGGGGAGAGGGAAGTGAATCGTATAACCTCTGAATTTGCCACAAGGCAAATCGAGCAGTTAGAGGGATGAGCAAAGAGAGTCACTCACACTGCAGCCTTTTGCTTCACAAAACACTTTGGCAAAAACGCACAGGGGCAAGGCAGCGAATCTCTCTCTCTCTCTCTCTCTCTCCCTCTTCTCTTTCTCCCTCTTCTCTCTCTCTCTCTCCCTCTTCTCTCTCTCTTTCTCCCTCTCCATCTTCTCTCTCTCTTTCTCCCTCTTCTCTCTCTTTCTCCTTCTTTTCTCTCTCTTTCTCCCTCTCCATCTTCTCTCTCTCTTTCTCCCTCCCTCTTCTCTCTCCCTCTTCCTCCCTCTCCCTCTTCTCTCTCTCTTTTTCTCCCTCTCCCTCTCCCTCTTCATCCCTCTCTCTCTCCTCTCTCCTCTCTCTCTCTCTCTCTCGCTCTGTGCAATGATCATATTTGGTGTTGGGGGAAGGAGAGGAATTTCCCACAGTGCCCGAGGCTGTGGCTGTGTGGCTGTGGTGTCTGAGCAGTTGGCCACAGCCGCCAAGTCCTGGTGAGCCGGAGCGCTGCCGAGCGCCTGCCCCCAACTATCGGTTGTTTTGCCTCCTTTTGACCTTGTTTTTGCACCGCAGGCGCCAGGTAAGGACACAGGGCTCTCGCTCCAGGTCAAAGCCCCACTTGGAAAACAAGAAGCCAAAGCGACTCAGTGGTGGGAGGGAGTGAGGGAGAGAGGGAGTGAGGGGAGAGGGCAGGAAGGTGCGCACTTAACGCTGAGGGGTGTGGGGGACAACAAAAAAAAAATGCGCGTCGTCTCTTAACTGCGAACGCAGCCCCGAGTGACGGGAAGTTTCACCATCTTTTCTGGGGGAGTGTTTTTTTTATATAAAAAAAAGAATAAATAGAAGTCGACTCGGTCGGTACACATCTGAGGGTGTGTGGTGTGTTTTTCTCTCTCTCTCTCTCTCTCTCTCTCTCTGGGGTGGGGTTCGTGCACCCGAGAGTGGTTGGGTTGCGAGGAGCTGTGGACAGGCCTCGCGCTGCGCTCCCTCCCCGGCGTTTGCTGGGGATTGGGGATGGCGCTTAGGCTCAGACACCCACACACACTCACTCTCTCTCTCTCTCTCTCACACACACACACACACACACACAGAGAGAGAGAGAGAGAGAGAATTAGTTTACTTACAGTGTATAAATATGCATATTCTTGCTTTACTGCCACTCTGCGACCTCCCCAGAGGACAAGGCTTAAGCGCAACAATTCTGCAGAGGATGGGGACTATCGCCCTAAATCGTACAAATGCTAAAGAAAATTCCTTTGCAAAACCCACCCCATCCCCTCGGGTGGTCCTGCCCGAGTTGGCAGCCCCCCCCCCCCCCCCCCGGGCACGGATCACTTGGGATCAGAGCTGATGGACTTCTTGTTGTAACAGTACCTGTGTACATCGTTCCAATCGCCTGAGCTGTACATCTATCTGCCCAAGTCCCGTTCAAGAGTGTGTGTGTTCCGTTGCAAGTTTGACATAACTCATACTCTGCACAGGTCGTGTTAAATGTAGGGTCCCAACTGATACGACTTACGCGAGGTTTCCTGCAGCAAATCGTTCAGCAACAACAACAACAACAACAAGATTCCATTTATAAAGCGCCTTTCACGTCAGGAGGACGTCCCAGCAGCTTCTTTCGGTGGGGTCTCCTCCCTCGAACGTGCCCAGTGCCCGACTTGTATGGCATTTAAAGGCGCGTGATCGCAGCTGTAAAGTTGGAACAGCTTAATATAAATAATAAATACATGTTATATGTGTGATTCTCTGAAGCAGTTTAGATTGCCACTTCAGCATAGTGTCACAGGATGAAATTGCCTGCACTGTGGCACTGTGTGACTTAAGTGGTCATGACATCAAAAAGCATTGTTGCACTTCTAATAGTTTTTCTCTCTCTTTTTCTCCTTTCATAATACATTGACTTTTCTCCATTAAACGGGCATTCCCATCAACAGAACATATCTTAAAAGAAATTGCATCTGACACTGTGAATTTGGGGTTATGGTGAAGCTGAAAACCATCATGAATTCTGGAAAGCACAAAAAATTCCTGGGCATTGACTATCCTCCAGTAACTTGGCCAAATGTCGACTTCTTCATGTGTGTTTTTATCACTCGATGTCAACATATTGTTTAACTAAGGGGGGAGAGGGCTTCATGGCGAGGTCCAAATTATTGTTGCCCAGAATCTGGAAACCAAGGAGATATGTAGGGACATTTTATATTGAAGCTTTTTTAAGCCTGGTGGTGATGGGAGGGATCTGTTTCTAGAGGCATTGACACTACATCCAAATTTTATTGAGGATTTTTTTTTATTTGCAGAATGATCAGGAACAGAAATCTTTGTGGTGGTTGTGAAGTCTGATTTTTTTTTAATTCCTCCTGACCTCCCGAGCCCAAGGTTACTGAGGTCAATTCATAATTTTATTTTGGAGTTTGAAATGTATGTTTCCTTAAAACTTTATAAAATGTATTGTTTAGAGAGCTCCTCCGATGGCTCAGTTAATAAAGTCGCTTCCTAATTGAAACTGAGCCCTAAAGACCTAAAAAGGTTCCAACTTTGATCCCTATTTAGTGCTAAGTACTTTGAAATGTCTCAAAGACGTGATAAGGCACTATATCAAATGCAAGGATTATTATTATTAAGTAGTTGAACTCATCGAGGGCACTGCAGCTGAACCCAGCAAGCTTGCTGTATGGCAAGTAAAAGTCAGCCAAAAATCCTACAACTGAATGCCAGCCTTTGGCACTTTCTGAAATGTGTACTTGTGTGGACATTGGGTAACTCAGGAATCTTGTAGCTCAGTGGTTAGAGCACTCGCCTCGCAAGCGAGAGACCTGGGTTAGATTCCTGGCAGGGCGAAACCTTGGGCAAGTTTCCTTACTCTACAAGCCTGATATTAATCCCTCAGGAAAAAAAATAATAATTTGGTCACTCAGTCCACGGCTGTTTGTGAGGCACTGCTGTGCGTAATTGGTTGCCGCATTTCGTCCACAAAATATACAGTCAATTCAATTTACAATATGTTCTGTGAAGCGCTTTGTGATGTCTAGAAACGCTATATCAAAATGCAAGAATTATTATTATATATTAATATAAATAAATAATCCTCACATTTGGTATAGCACCCTTCATGTCAGGATGCTATCTGAAAGAGCTTCAGACAATATATTGTCAGGTGACTGACAGTGTATTTTGTACGTGAATGAAATGAAATGCTGTACTCTGTCCAGCGCCTTGGGATATTCTGCCGATGTGAAAGGCACTATACAAATGTAATCTTGTTGTTGTTGAATGGTGAGGAGATTGGGCTTGGCTCTAATATCCTTGTGGAGGAACACCAAGCTTGCCTTCATTCAGGTTGGTTGAGGCCTAGATAGTTAATTACCATTTAAAAACCAGCTTGATGTTGTGGTGGGGGTACAGTAGGGTGGGTTTTGTGAAGGGTGTCAGAAGGGTGTTCTGGACGAATGAGATTGGATGGGCTGAAGGGCCTTCTTCATCCAAACCGACCTTGTGATTTTCTTGGTCACCCAAGACTAGTCATCCGGGTGAGGCACTAATAGATGGCCGGTGCCTGTGGAACCTATCTCCAGGATGACTCTGTGCTCTCCAGATAGGACAGGAACCTCCCATACACATACACACACCAAATATCTTCCTTCTATGTACCTTTTCAGCAATCAGCAAGGCAGATAATTATGTCAGTGTCAATTAGAAGATCATTGGTAGTGTTGATTTTTCTCCCTTATACCCTCCCCAACAGTCTCTCAGCATTAGAGTTTGTAAGTGTGGTTTAGTGAAATAGCTAGCATTTTTTTCTTTCGTGTAAGCACTAAGTGCTGAGAAATACAAAATGTTTCCGTGCTTACTCAAGCAAGAGGTCAGATATAGTGTGTCCAGCTGTGGAGCAATATTCCATTAACTTTAACCCAGCAATTTGGTTTAGCTCCAATGTCTGAAGAGCAACATTGCCAATTTTTTCATTTCTCCCACCCTCCAGCCATGGCCTGTGGTCATGCTCAGTGTGAATACCAACTGAGTGATATGCTTTGGGGTCTATGTCTACCATGAGATACAATTTACATTTATATAGTGGGATTTCAGCTAATCATGATCTAAGTAACCAATGTCAACCATTGGAAGTGAACAACCTTAACCATAGTATGTAATCTTACAACCTAGGCAACCATCTGACAGGAGGTAATGGTCGGAAAGCATCATTTGCAGTCTTTCCCACGGGAATCAGGTGATACAAATTGTAGTTAAAGAAGCAGACATTCATTGCATCGATATGATCTTCCATACATGGAATGAAATACATTAGGGCCTGAAATAGAAAAGGTGGGGACAGCTGCAGCCTCCTTATTTTGTCCTATTTCAAAATAAAAGACATGGCACTTCACTTATAAATTAAAAATAATGAAAGATATATAGCATATTGATGGTAGAATCAAAATATTGGTCACCAAAAACACTAAATTAAAATCGTAAGATAATAAATAGCGTTATTTCTGATTTATCTCATTTGGCTATGTAACATCACCCCTGCCAATATTTTGCAGTAAATTTGTATGAACCTATGTTGGGAGCACTGTTTTCCTATTTATGTTATGCTGCTTACATTGGGAGAGAAGCAATGAAATGTTCTATGTTAGTTTGCAAGCCAAATTGTTGATGGAAATACACTTAGGTATTTTGTTAAAAAAAATGAAGTGCATTAAGTCCCTTCACAGTGTGATGTTGGGCACTTGAAAGCAGTTACTTATGAGACATTGATTTGCTCTGTTCACAGCATCATGAGAGAAAGTTGGCCTGGCCTCCAAGGGGCAAAGGGGAAAGAATGTTAAGTGTGTTATGAATAGAGCAGACCACCTGACCATTCATTGTACCCTTGACATGCCTTTACCTTGAAGGACCATTCTGGCTTCCTGTTATGATGCTTTGATTAAGCAAAATGACATAAGTTGTTGTCAGCAAGGTCCCCAGAAAGCATCTCAAAATATTTATCCCCTCTCTGTAAGTACACTCCTAGATGTATCAGCCACAGTGAACTACCTATCCTTCGAAACTTACGTCATGTTAAAAAGCAAACATCAGACTTTCGTGAATTAATCATAACTGCAATGCTCGGTGTTTACCTTTCATTTAAATCAATAGTTAACTTGAATAGGTGTTTCCTGTAAAAAAACGAAAAATGGGATTACACCGAAAGGGTAGAGGATTGATGAGTATGTTGTTGAGCCTTTACCTCACTCGTCTTTTGTTCTTTTAAGGAACTTACAAATCATTACGAATCAAACTGAGCTTATGTCTGATTTATTTCTGGGACCAGGAGCCACAAATAACATGCTAATTTGGAGTGCAGGAGAAATATTACAGGGCCTTAGACATCCTGCAATTTGCGACCTAGTGGACACCTGCTGGTCTCTTGTCAGCATTCAAAATGGGGCAGCCCAGGGGAACCACAGCTCCAGCAGAATCCACAAATTACCTTTTTTTTTACCTCAAAGCCTTTTACTAATTTCCTCTGCCTTTGCTGCTCTCAGATGTAGAACATTATTCCATGGATACTTCCTTTCCCAGAAGTTGAAACTT